ATACACACAGAGTTTATAGCATGTTTTAAACAGTCTTTCTTTATATCGCACTTGTTTTAAATTGCCTTATAATGAAAGAAGTCAGTCAGGTTGAGTTGAGTTGAGCCAGGTAAGCTATTCAGTTTCTTCCAGATCTCCTGCTAGCCTTTGTTGCTTAGTTCCAGCTCGCATACTCGTACATTCAATGTACTGATGCCAGTTGGCCTGCATCTTATGACGATGCAGACGCAGGTACCCCGGATCAGCATCCAGCACGTCGTTGATCCAGCTGAGCACTCCAGAGTCAGTGGTGAGCCTCCTTGCATTCCGGAGGACTCAATTATTTTGTGTACTTAGTTTTGTTCTATTAGGATGTTGCGGGGTCTGTCCCAACATCCATCTCAGTGTATTAGAGGCTTCATAGACAGTCAGTCAATTAGTTTTGAGTCTCTCCTCTATGTATATATGTAAATATCTATTTTGAGATTCGAGATGCCCTTGTGGCCAGATTTTCATAAGTTAAGTTGTTGTGTAAACTTGCATTGCATTAAGTTATTCCGTTGAGTTAGGTTTCCGTTGAGCTAAGAAAGCCAGGCCAAGGGTTCACTTGGGGCCAGAAATGGTCTCCGGGTGCCGATCCCGCCCAGGGTGTAGGCTCGGGGTGTGACACTTTCTACTTAATTACGTGGCTCAATTGCATTTTAAGCAAAATCTGGATACACCATCGATCCTTTTTATTCTAATTTGGTTCCCTATAGGTGTTAATGAGTCCATGAATACAAGGTAGATATGGAAAGATGGTTCGAAGTCCTTCATCAAGATATAGAAGGTTGGGCGGGTCGGGTTACATTTGGGCAGGTTAAAATGGGTCAAGACTATAAATGGGCCAAGACCTAACCCAGCCCAAATTTGTTTGGGCCATAATGGGTTAGGTAACGGGTTACTAACAGGTTATAATTCGGGAAAATTGCATATAATAGCAAACTATTAATTCAAATTAAATGTGTAACACCCGGCGATTTGAAATAACTATGAAGAGGCCTAGAATTGGAAATTTTCATTTTTGGAAAGAATTTGGAAAATCTGGAAATTTGGTTAAGTATGGGAAAAAGTGAGTTTTTGACCAACTTTGAGTAGTCATAACTTCTAGCTCAGGATGAGTTACGAGTAGTTCCAGTTATGGTTGCGAATCTCGTGGAATGATCTTTCTAAAGCCACTGAGTTTGCTCAATTCCGAGTTCGTATGAGTGAGTTATGCCCTTTGGAAGTTGGGCAGTTGGCAGGGAAATCCGTCCCGGAATTTTAAGGGCATTTTGGTCTTTTCCCAAATCATTTCCTTTGGTTATATTTTAGTGTTGGGATGATTTTTAGATTAGTTTTTCCCATTTTAAAAGAGTGAGAGTTAGGGCTTTTTGAGTGAAGAAGAGAAGAAGAAGAGAAGAAGAGGAGAAGAAGCGGAGAAAGAGGAGATCAAGCAAGTTTCCGTCGTGGATATCGTCGGGGGTGATCCCTACTAGGTATGTGAGTTCATAGTGTTGGGTTGATCTTTTCCCCCACACACCACACTCGTTTTATTTTCAAGAAAAGATTGGTTGTGTTGTTGAAGTTGTTGGTTGTGTTGTTGATGTTGTGGATTTGTGTTTGTTGGAGTTCCTTGTTGATTTGGGGCACGATTTGGTTGTGTTTTTGAGTTGAATCTCTTGTATGTTGAGGGATTTTATTATCCTTAGTGTTTGGGGTTGAAACCCTTGAAGGTAAGGGAGGTTTAGAGTTGGAAAAATAAAGGAGGAAAAGTCAAGTTTTTGGGGAAAAGGGCTGGGGCGTCGCGCCTGCCAGCGCGCCCCAAGAGGGGCTCTGAACTTTCCCCCTTGGGGCGGCGCGCTTCTCAGTGCGCCAGCAGGCCCCCTCTGAAGTTTTTGGTCTGGCGCTCTGCACCTCTCAGAGCTCCAAGTTTTCCCATTCATTCCCCACTTTCTTATGCATGTTCCTTGGTATAGTACCTATGTTTCCTAGTTGTTTCCAACACTCCAAGGTACTTCTAAAAGTCAAGAACTCATCCGTAACATGTGATCAAACACCTTGAATCTAAATCCAATTCAAGGAGAGTTAGTTAGAAGTCAAGTGAAGTTAAGAGTTAAGCTTAGAAGTTAAGCAAGCTGAGGCAAGTCTTTAAAGTTGTTCAAGAGTCTTTATTGAACGTTTTAACTTCATTTTAAGACTCAAGTTTCAAGTCAAGCAAAGTGCTTAGAGTTTCAAGCTAAGTAAAGAGTCTCAAGTTTCAAGTTAAGTCAAGAGTTTAAAGTTGAGTTCTTTTTCTCAAAAGTTATTAGGGAACTATGTATTCCCAAAGAAGTTTCTAAATGTTTTTACATTAGAGTAAGAAAGGGACTATGATTTCCAAAAGAGTCTTTGGGCTAGATTTTGAGTAACTATCTCAACTAAAGAAAGATGTGTTTAAAACACTTATGAGCCAAACCTGGTCATCCCATATTAGGCATTTTTATATAGTAATAGTAAAAGTACTAGATTTAAAAGGTATTATTATGAAATTACATTTTTGCCCTTGATCTTTCATTTTATATATCTTGAAGCATTGATCGAAGACAACCAAGAAAGAGATGAAAAGTCCATTCCGTTTCTGGAAGTGTCTATTTTTATTGTTGGAACCAAAAAGAACGGATTGTTTCTAGAAAGAAGATTTTTTTGTTATTGAGCGAAATTATTCTTTTGCCTGGTCATCCCATATTAGGCATTTTTATATAGTAATAGTAAAAGTACTAGATTTAAAAGGTATTATTATGAAATTACATTTTTGCCCTTGATCTTTCATTTTATATATCTTGAAGCATTGATCGAAGACAACCAAGAAAGAGATGAAAAGTCCATTCCGTTTCTGGAAGTGTCTATTTTTATTGTTGGAACCAAAAAGAACGGATTGTTTCTAGAAAGAAGATTTTTTTGTTATTGAGCGAAATTATTCTTTTGCCTGGTCATCCCATATTAGGCATTTTTATATAGTAATAGTAAAAGTACTAGATTTAAAAGGTATTATTATGAAATTACATTTTTGCCCTTGATCTTTCATTTTATATATCTTGAAGCATTGATCGAAGACAACCAAGAAAGAGATGAAAAGTCCATTCCGTTTCTGGAAGTGTCTATTTTTATTGTTGGAACCAAAAAGAACGGATTGTTTCTAGAAAGAAGATTTTTTTGTTATTGAGCGAAATTATTCTTTTGCCTGGTC